GTTCCTTTTCCCACACTGGGCCCAGGAGTTTTGTTAACTCCAAAACCAAGACTGGACCTCCATCCTTAAACACGAATGGGGACAGCCTGTCGGGGCCGGAAGCCTTTTGCCGTTTGAGGTGACTTATTTCACGGGCAACCTCCATTTCCGATGGAGGACTGATGTCAACTTGTAGTATCTGCACCGTTGAACCGGGTGGGGGAAGGTCTTGTGTCGAAGGGGACCAGCTGAACTGTGCCTTAAAATGTTCTGCCCAACGTTCGACACGACGTTCCTGAATTCGAATCCTTATGCCGTCAGACTCCTTAATTACTTCACGCTTGCTTTTCTTGGTTCTGTACTCCTAATCAAACGAAAAATATTGTGACTATTACCAATAGCCGCAGCCTTCTCCATCTCTCTACACTTTCCTACCCACCACTTCTCGCGGTCATTCCTCAGACTCTTGGTGAGCTGACGTTTAAGGGGTTTGCGCGTTTTGTCGTGTTTTGAATCCCAAGGAATGGTTTTGCGAGCGTCCAGCAAGGCAACCGAGGTCGGGGAGATCCATCGCTTTTTATTTGTTCGTGCGCCAGAATTTGCCATTGTTTTTATCGACGTTTGAATCGCTTCCTCGATTTCCGGCTAGTGTTCACTGAGTCCTCCGGCTGATGATTGAGCTGAGAGGCGATCTGATAGTTCCGCTTCGAAGGCCCATTTGCAATTGTCGGTGATAGTGTCTTGTGGGCATCCGTTTTCCGCGGCTTTTCTGTGGTTGTTTATCAGTCGTAGAGAGAATCTCGCTCGTAGCAGAGCATGATCCGTGTCCACGGATGTTGACCAGTAGGAGCGGCAGTCTTCAATGAGTCTTCTCCAGCGGTGGCTGATGGCGATGTGGTCGATTTGAGTCCAGCGCTGTGAAGAAGTTGGCGGTGTCGTTTTTTTGTGCGAGAAGTTCTTGCTTGACAGAAACAGTCCGTGATTAGCACAACGTTGGCGTAGGCGTTCTCCATTGTCAGTCCTGTTAGTTGGGATTGCATGCGAACCGCCAAGTAACCTCTGTGATTCGTCCAGGGATCTCACTTGAGCATTGAAGTCTCCGGCGACTACCACAATGTTCGTTGACCGAGCACTTTGAAGCAGTTGAGATAGGTCCTTGTAGAATTCACCCTTCATTTCTGGTGAACTGCAATCTGTTGATGCATATGCGGATACGAGGAATGAGCACCGACGCTTCGTTCTGTAGCTGTTGACGCGTACTGAACCATCCGACGCACGGCGCAAAGTCAGCTGTTAACCGGGATCCAATAGAGAAGTGAACGCTCGGCCTTGACACAACAGCTCGGACTTCGGATGCCTAATTGCCTGACACCCGGAGAGTGAAACGTGAGGATGAGGCTGGATCTGGCGAACGGAGGGAGATGACTGAAATAGGGTCATGATACGTGTTTCAGAGATACAGCATACGTCTAAACGGAAGGTTTCAAGGGTTCTAGCTAAGGCGGCTTGTTGACTGACCTGGTAGAGTGTGCGGAAATTGAGTGCGGCTAAGTGAAAAGGTGAGCTGGGTAGACGACTAATAACCGTAGTAAGAACCTGGGTACAATTAATTAGTTCTCGAATGAAACCTTATTCCTTGCAATCGTTTTGTTGGCATAGGGATTCATTTGGATCGTCCAGTTGAGAGACTCCATGAATTAGAACAACCCGTTTGTTTTCCGACTGCCGTGCGTCTGTTGGGTTAGTGCGGTATTGTGTACCCTCCATCCAGGGTCTATCTAGAAGTGTTCTGGTTCTACACGAATCTTTCTTAAGAAGGTAACTAGAGAGAAGAACTTTTTCCAGATCCTTCTCGTCTGCAAATGTTACGCGAGTCAATCGTGGCTCCCCAGCATGCGGCGACGATGGATGGCGAAACAGCCGCACGATTCCAACGGGGTAAACGTCGATACCCTTTTGATTACATAAATCAGCCCAGCGATCAAGCTCCTCTGCCTGTTTTTCCCTCAGTGTATTTGTTGTGGGCTTTGGCACGTTGGCGCAAACAACTGTCATTTCGGGGTTGTAAATTGCCTTCTTTGTCTTCGGCATTGGATTGTGCTCCTGAATAATCTGCGCTTTAGGCTCAATGATTTGTGCCGACTCTTGATCTCTGGCATTATCCTGTTTTGACTTTGCTTCGCCGTCGAGTTCCCCAGCTGTCGTCTGCCGCACCGCGCTTTATTCGCTGTAGCTAATCCGGGCTGGAGGAAACCGCGTGGAGGTCAACAGATGACCTGGAGACGAGGCATGACGAAATGCACAGAGCCATTAGGTAGAGTAGGTGTCTCTCGCCTTCCGGGTTGTGGTCCGAAATACTCCACAACCAGTTGGTTGGAGACATTGAAGAATATGGCAGCGAACCGACAGCAGTGGCGTTCTTTTTGTTGTTTCTTATCAGGTCAAAATGCTTGAAACGGTATGTATGCACAGTTATGTTTTGCGCTCTTTGTGTTGACCATAGATGTTCACTTTCTTTTCCGCCCTTCAGGTAGATCCAATCTCTCTCCATCTTGCACATTATCACTTATTTTGTATGCATTGTGAGCAGCGACCAGCAAAGTTCACTCCACTGTATTTCGCTATGAGATGATGATGATGTTGTTGTTGAGTGCTCATCGAGGGAGACTATCGTGCCGAGCGCCTGAAGCTTATGTCCTTCCTCACCCCTCTCCATTCTAATAACTTTCTTATTCTCACTTCTCTTCATTGTTCTTCCCAAACATAGACTGTTCCTTCTAGGCCTATTTTTCATTCTTATGGGCCGGAGAGCAACTCTGGCCTTGCTCAAACACCCTCAAAATAGGATACTGTGGCTGGGGATAGTAGCCCCAATACAAACGTTTATCTCATTGTCACAGTGCCGGGGGATCGTTGGAACTCACCGGTGCAAGAAACTGGACGACTCGGTAAGGTACCGTCTATGTCCTGGGCCCCCGAACTGACCAACGTGCAAACCGATGCCTATAGACCAGTACATTTTCAATTATCTTTTCACTTATCAGTCAAATTAACCTGCAATGCAACACCGTCAAAGAGCATGTGATCATGTCACTGCAGCTTGGTCTTGATGGCCTAATCTTCCGCCGAGCTGCGGGTTATTTGTTCCCCGGGAATTTCCCCGTATGTATCGTCTTCAATCAATATTTTTGAAGTTTCAGTGTTCAGCCTCCCCGATTTTTGTTATTTTTTATCACATGTATTTGTAGTGTGGTGGACAGTAGTAAAGAAAATCCACTGTTTGGTTTTGGAAACCGAAAATGAAAACCCTAAGGCTTTGATTTGCTAACTGTATGAACTTCGAATGAGATATAATAGATGATTCACCAAGCCGGTCGATGGCCAAGCTGCTCACCGTGGTAGGGCACAATTTTCACCTTTATTTTTGAGGGTGCACTTTACACATGCGTTTTATTTGAGTTTCACTATTTATGAAATTAACTGCCGCCTCGATGACCATTTAAGCAGTAAGAGGCAATGTGAAAAATGGTTGCAAACAGCTTCTCCTTTCCACATTTGTGTGTTGTATGGCAACCCTTTGATTGGCCGCTTCCCCCTTCGTGAAAATTGTATCACTGTGTATTCAATAAAAGGAATTAAAATGAGAAAAAAATATCTGAGAGGTGACTTGTGGCTAATCAGAGTGCTGTTTGCTCCTGTTCTCATGTTATTTCTCTTTCTCTAGAATATTTTGATCACTTATGCCGGTATGTTCGTTGGTGGAGACTATATCTACTCCGGAGTGAATTTCATCGGAGTCACCATCAGGTAAGTAGTTCCTTGTGTTCCTGTACACGTATTGATTCGAGCAGTATTCCTGTAGAACAGGTAATTTTTGCCGCATCCGTTAGTCCGTGATCCCATTCTTTGCATGATTACCACCCACACCTTTCTGTGGTTGACACCAGTCTCGAGAATTGTCGGTCGTGCTTTGTTTCGGGTACTTTTCTGCACAGATCGTACGTGCCGATTCCGATCTTTGTACGATTCATGACTTCAACATCAATCCGGTAGTCTGAATAGCGCGTATCTTTTCATGTAGTTCTCTTTCTCTAGTTTTGTGTGACACCTTTATGCCTGAATCCGTTGGCTCGTTGTCGCCAAGCCCTTTATTGGTAGAGGGGGGATGAATATCCATCTAATGGTCAATCTGGTTTGAACTTATTAACACGCATCTCCGTCATGACTTGTACAAACGTGATTGCGAAAGATGCAAAGTGACAACTAGTGCTTAATCATCATTTGATTGCTTTCAGACCATAATATTCGCCAACTGTTGATTAGGTCATTTACCTAATGCAAAGATAACTATTTGGTGAACCTACTCACACTTCATCAACCAGAATATCACTTTTTCCACACGACTATTTGCTTGGGATCTTTTCGGCTCAGTATACAACCTGTCAGTTTCTCTGAATACCTGACTACCGTCGTCATCCGAGTACATTCCGACTGTTCGTTGGCCTGTTTGTCGCCTCTTCACTGACGATTCTGGCTGAGTTGGATTCAGTATTTTTCTCACCTGCTCGATCATGGCTATACAATTCCAATTCCACTGGTCAGCGGCGAATCAAGACCAATGTTGGAGGGGGGGTTGTTTGCAGTGTTGTTTGATGTGTACCGCTCACCTGAAGGGTTAGTCGCTTTTCTTTGTCCCTAGACCTGTGTCTTCCGGTGAAACAAGTGGCATCTTGTTTAATAATGGCGGTATAAACCGCTCAAAATAAATTGTGAAGGAATGCAAAAGATGTTCCATTGTATCGCATAGTTTTAGTCGGCTAAATCGTGCAAGTTCAGCTTGTTACATTATATTATTATTTTTCACACACGTCTGACACCAGGCTGTTTGCCAAACAAATCATGGTACAATAATCCTAATGAAATGATTTGCATGTGGGCTGAATACTGCCAGGTTGCCAAGGCAGGTGAATTTTCTCGAGAAATCCACAACCGGAACCTTCGGCTAGCCAAAGCCTGACCGGTGAGGCAGCGGGGTGGTGTGAAAACCGCAATCCATTGGGGGCCGGTGTTCAATTTATCGGATCGTACGCCCTTTGGACGGGGTCGAACGTCCAAGGTGCCCAATGGAGGCGGTGACCACTGCCACAACCGGGAAGGTAGGTGGGGTTGGTTTGGAATCAAGATTTTCGGCCAATTCCCCTTGTGGAACCGCCAATGGTCCGCCAACCCGGTTGTAGCCTCGGATGGTGGCTTTTTGTCCCCTCATTTTGATGCAACAACAACTCCGGCACGAGAAGGCAGTGAGTAGGGCTTCCTCATTAGAGGCCATTTGAGACGCTTGATCGTACGGAAGCATTTCGCTATGTGCAAGGGAAGGGTGACGAGCTGCAACCCTAGACACCCACCCCGACCATGCTGAGGCTTTCGGAAACAGCTTGTCACCTGGGTGGTAACAGAAATGAAGCCAACGTAATGGTTTACTGTCTGAATTGAAGTTTTGATTGCATAAGTTAGTTGAAATTTCCCCTAGAAATCCTGCAGTTGTCGGTAGGAGTTTCTGCGAAGTAAGGCATAATCGATTTTTCGTATAAAGATTTACAAGAGGGAGAAATACAAATTGCTGGATTTAGGAGACTGGTTTTTCGAAGGATCAGTTTGTCATGAATAAGCTTCAATTGATAGACATTTATCAAAAACAGGAACTGAGATATCTCACATGAGTTTTATACAAATAGAGCGGAATTGCGGAAACCCGATTGAGGATAGATAATCGACGACAAATTATCCTCACGTACTTTTTAAGTTGATCTGAGAATTCCAATGGAGAGCAGTACAGAATAATTGAAAAATGGCTTCGGTCCCAAGAGAAGACATGACCATTCTGTATGCCTCCAGTTACAAATCTGGAAGGATAAACGGTGGAATTTACGAATGATTTTTACAATGTATTCAACTCGCCGACGGTAGCACCAACTTTGGAAAGACCGCATCGTTTAGGCTTGACCACGAACATCAACCGGTACGAGGGGGGTTGCAACATACATTGAAAGCATTCGTAACGCTTAGGATATGAATGATGTGCAGTATTTGAAAGTTTGCAAGGTGGGTTTCCGACATTTGAAGTGTGTATACTTGATTGAGTTTAACAGTTGCAATAAATATTTTGCGATCGCTCTATTTCCGCTGCAGTTTCATCGGTATTATTGATGTCTCGTGGTGCATAGGGCATCAACATGCCTGTTCATGCACTGGCCTGATTTGGTTTCATCCTCAGGGCTAACCAGCACGGACAGAACATCTTTTTCAAATGAAATTAACGAGTTTGCAAACACACGCGCACATATATGGCACCACCGAGCTAATCATCTTTTCAGTCCTGATCGTCCAAAAATTGGTAAAACGGGTCATTGTCAGCGCGATTTCGATTCTGACCTAACTAGCACACAAATACACAAATCCACAGCAAGTGAAACATCACCTACCGCGTTGAATCAGCTTGCTTTTTAACCACCATTGAATCTGACGGCAAGTCCAACTAGATCCAGCCACGTTGGGCGCCACCGAGGTGTTTTGCTTAGAGCAGATCATCTAGACAGTCCATGAGTTCCTCCACCAGGTGATCGGTTCTCTAACCTCTCATAAACACTGACTCTGTGCCAGTTTTTCAAATATCCCCGTGATATAAATATTTTAGTATATCATACATCCCAATGATCGATTGTTACATGATTATTTTATTACCTGCCCAAAAAGTCTTCAAACCTATTCACCAGACTGCGCTAAAACAAATGGTAATTTAGCGGTTGGTTTCCTTATCGAAAATCCGTTCCCCTTCCTTCAATAAAAGGAAGTAAAACTTAGAACTGGGGAACTTTGTTTTTTTGGGCAAGAGGTTGAATCCAGACAAGATTAACCAATTTTTGTCTGTTCCTTCCCCGAGTTTTATCATAGACTCATCTATTTTACCATCAGTACCGACAGTTATTTCTAATTTATACCCGTACCATAGTTCATCTTCACATGCATACACGGTGAATTATTTCTTTATACATTGAAGTACCACAATCCCTCATATTCGCGTAATTTATTGTCTTATTGGCTTGGGTCCGTT